AACAATAATTGTGAAGTTGGCACAGGACCAGGCAGTGTTTTGTTCTGTTGTGCATAAAGTCGCTATGAGTCGATATTGACTCAACGGCATTTAACAACAATAAATGAGGAAATATATAAAAAGTCAATGTTAGTGATTATACATAATTATCATCAACATCAGGCTCTGGTTTGTTGGGTTAGTTAATTCCTTTCAGATTTTTTTTCTGTGAAGTCCAAGGATTAAGAAACAAATTATATTGCAATACACATGAATAGAATTGAAAAGGACTTTTGGGGTCTTCTAATGACAAACTTGAACCCCAGTTACTTGACCTGTAATGTGACATTAACCAAAATATTCCAGGAGTTCTAAAAAGTGCTATGGCAAAGGAATTTGCCAGCTTTATTTAACAGACCATTTTCTAAACATATTTGACTAAGATTTATTACTTTTTAAAATTTTTTAGCAGTTTTTTAAGAATAGCTTTAAATGTTTTGCTGAACCATGAAACAACAGAGAGACTTCTGGATTACATGATCCTTATGGAATTTTTTCTAGCTCTCAAGTGCAAGGATTCTGTCACTCAATTTATTCCAAAACATTTTATGCCACAATTCACATCTATGTGGAAGTACAAATGCCTAACTTCAGACCTGTAAAAAAGTTTTAAGCCTTTCCATTTTCTGTAGGGTTGTTTTGTAGTATGAGTTTAGTAAATCAGATGAAAACTTTTATCAGCTTATCACTTTTATCTCTTCTTTCCCTGTTCTGAAATTAGGGTTTAAACATTACTTCATGAGAATGGCTCTGCTATTTCAAATTTACAGTACAATAAATGGTTTATCTTCTATTGATTGAAAGCCAGCTTCATAATTTCCCTCTGAGCTCTAGAGTTATCATCCTTTCTCCTTTCCTCTTTGTGTAGAACATACCTAATGTATTGCCAACTTTACTAACCTTCCAAATCTGCTGAGAGCACCTCTCAGACTTGTGCTACTAGAGGTTTTCTTTGCAAAACTGAAATCATGATGAGTTGGAAAATGAAAATACTATATAAGATGTTTCTCAATTTCATGGTTTTCTTCTAGAAGTTTAGCAAGCATTTATATACTCCCAGCTGTTTATAGACCTCTTTTTCTATGCCAGGAGTTATAATGGTGAATGAAGCCTAACCCCTTGTCTCATATTGCTAATACTCTAGGGAACCAATTGTCATCGTGTCACTTCCAACTCATAGGGACCCATGTGTGTCATTGTAGAACTGTGCTCCGTAGGGGTTTCAAAGAATGATGTTGTGGAAGTAGATCGCCAGGTCTTTCTTCCGAGGTGTCTCTGGATGGATTCAACTGCCAACTTTTCGGTTAGCAGTTGAGTACATTAATCATTTGCACCACCCAGGGACTCCCATATCCAAGTGAAGGAGATAGATAAATAAATAAATAAATAAATAAATAAATGCTATTATCATCAGGGTTGTGATAGGGTAAATATCATAGGATCACCCTTCCTAAGTTCAGGAAATCAGGAAGTGCTTTCTGGTGGAAGTAACATCTATATTGAGAATGGAACAGCATCTACGTTGGCAAACAATTATTGGCAATAATAAAAATGGAACCATCTGTTGAGCACTTGCATAGGTCAGGCATTGTTGATAAGTTCCGTCAAGTTGGTTCTGACCTAGAGTGACCCTGCATAGGGTTTCTGAGGAGCTGCTAGTGAGCTTGAACCGCCAGCCTTGCGGTTCAAACTGACCTTGCAGTCCAGCGCATTAACCCACAGCGCTATACTAGGACCCCAGGTCAGGCATAGGATAAGGCATTTTGCATACATTAGCATTTACTGTTATATCTGCCAAGGGTTATCCCATTCTACAGACATGGGAAGTGAGATTAAGTACTTCAGACCAATTTCCACAGCTAGTAAGTGGCATAGCTGGGACTTATGCAGTAGAGCCCTGGTGGCATAGTGGACTATATGCTGGGCTGTTAACCTAAAGGTAGCCGTTTGAATCCAACAACCACCCCACAGAATTTACAGCCTCAGAAACCCTATATAAAATCACTGTGAGTCATAATAAGCTTAAGGGCAGTGGGTTAAACACAGTGTAACAGAAAATTTAGAAACAGTTAATCATGAAAGGCAAAAAGCAATCTTTTGTGTTTTGGTGTACATCCCCCCAAAAAAACAACCAGGGGGAATAGAGGCAGGTACTGTTAAATGATGATGCATGGAGGGGATTGCAACCAATGCAGTGAAATGAAATATGATAGCGTAAGTGTAAAATTGATGTTCTTCTATATAAACTATCACTCAATTCACAATAAAAACTTGAAGAAAGAAAAGCTATCTTTTTAGGTACAAGTTTATTTCTGATTTTTTATTTATGGCATAAGAGTCCTGGTGTGGTGCTGTAGGATAAGCACTGGACTGCTAATTGCAAGGCTGGCAGTTCACACCCATCATGCACTCCTTGGAAACCCTATACAGGGTTGCTGTGAGTCAGTACCACTCAACGGGCACTTAACATGTATAGCATAGACACTTTCTGCTAATAAGTGATTCCTAATGTTCTGAAATTAAATGAGTTCTAGCTATTCTAGTGTAGCTATAAAATAATGACGGGATTCATTGTTGTTTGTTGTGGTTAAGTGCCATTGATAGTGACCCTGTGTAAAGTTTCTGAGGCTATAAACCTTTCACAGAAAGCCTCATCTTTCTCCTTTGGAGCGTCTGGTAGGGTCGAACTGCTGACCTTGTGGTTTGCAGCCCAGTGCTTAACCTACAGAACCACCTGTTCCCAAAGGAATTAATTTTATATGTCTTAAAGTTAGTTATAGTAAATGAATTTCACTTATATTCTGGTTTTAATACTATTTTCACTTTTATCCAAGTTATTGTTGATGTTAAGCTATCAAGTCAGTTCTGATGCTTAGTGACCTTGTATAGGATTTGAAGCGCTGATCTTTCAGTAGCAGTCCAGTGCTTATCTTACAGCGGCACACCAGGACTCCAAGTTGTTATTATAACCGTAAAGACCTTATTCTCTATTTTTTTAATAAACTTTTTGTTGTGAATTGAGTGAAGGTTTGTAGAAGCAGATCACCAGTTTTATATTCAACAATTCTTAGGCTTTATTTCATCGGAGTGATTACCATCCCCTCAGTGTAACATCACTCATTCCACTTCCTCTCTGCATTTCTTGTTTCCATTCTTCCTCTCCTCCTTTCCCAACCCTTCTGAATTTTGTCCTTTTGATCTGAATGCTGCCCTTTCGATCTTCAATGCTTGACCATTCTACATTATGCATGCGTACCTCACTAGTGTTGTTGTTCCCCCTATATACCTAGTGTTAGGTGAAAATTCAGCCATGGAGTTGAGTTTAGTTCCAGAAGGATGACCAAGGGCCATAGTCTCAGGGTTCTGCCAGTCACTATCTGACCAATAAGCCTGGTCTTTTTTTTGTATTCAAGATTTTGAGTTTTCTTAGCCAAGAGAAGTAATGTAAAAACTTTAAAGACATACATTGATAATTTTCCCTTCCCCCCTTTAGTTTGGAATATGGGCAGATCAACTTGGGGATGGAAGAGCCCACCTTATTGGGATTTATATGAACAGGTACCACATGATTTCTTGCATAATAACTTTTTTTAAATATTAACATGAATTTCTCATACTTAAATTTTTTAATTTTTTCCAAAGGTTGGGTGAAAAATGGGAGCTCCAATTAAAAGGCTCAGGAAAGACTCCATATTCCCGGTACTGTTTGATTTTTTTTTAAAAAGTGGTCTACATAAAACTTGATATTGTCTGAATTACAGATTTTTTAATTTTTTACGTTTTATTTCCTATAGAAATGGTGATGGTCGAGCTGTACTGCGTTCTTCAGTAAGAGAATTTCTGTGTAGTGAGGCTATGCACTATCTTGGAATTCCAACAAGCAGAGCTGCAAGGTAGCTCCTCTTCCCTTGAAACTAACTTACTGGGCCAATTATCTCCAGAAATGAATCAGTAAAGTGAGCAGATAAATCTCTGATGGCATGATTTTTTTATAATAGTTTTTTATAGTTTTGGGTATTTATTGATAGCTGATTGACTGTAATAGAAGGACACTTTATTCTAATAGAATGGTGGCTTGGTAGCTATGGTTTGTGAAATGATGAGAATAACCTATGCTAGTGTGATTGTGTCATATTAATGCCCTTTTATTTTTCTTACATATTTCATTGAGAAATTAAAAGGCAAATTGTGATTTTTTTTTTTAAACTCAAAAGGACCAATATTTTAGTGCCAGACAGACCTGAATTTAAGGACCAGGCTGTGCCACTCACTACAGTTGATCCTTGAATGATAAGGGATTAGGAGTGCCGACCTCCCATGTAGTTGAAAATCCATGTATAATCTTTGATTCCCCAAAGCTTAACTAACAGTAGCCTACTATTGACCAGAAGCCTTACTGATAACATAAACAATTGAGCGACACTCATTTTGTATGTTATGTGTATTATATACTGTATTCTTACGGTAGAGTAAGCTAAAAAAAAGAAAATGCTATTAAGAAAATCATAAGGAA